ATTCTTCTTAACATACTTTATATTGTTACTCTTTACATTCAATTTTAATTTCTGATCATTATCAGACATTATTTTTTGACTTTTTAAGACTTTTATTTGGTTAAAATTTCCCGCCCAATTTCCTGCTTTAAAAAGTTCCAGGTCTTAATTAGGTTTCAGTAAAACAGTAGAAGTTTTTATTTCAAATACTTTGTCCCAGACTTACCTTTATGATATAGGGAAAAATCACGCATAAAGATGCATTTAGACAGATAAGGAAACATGTATCTGAGGAATTAATGTTGCAGCCTTTTTCGCATTAATTCATCATCCCATCAACTATATAAAGAAGACATAAGAATTTCCCCTTATAACTTTATAACCATCACCTTATACCATCACCTTACACCATCACCTTCAAAGGTTTTACTGTCTCCATAATACAGTCCGGGTGTTATTTCTTTTTTTTCTTCCAGTATCTAACAAAAAAGGACTTTGAAATAAATTCCAATTCCAATAATATTTGGAATTGGAATTTATTTCAAAGACAATAAAACTAATAAGTTTTTTAGTTAGGCAAATAAAAGTTTACGCCATTAGGAATATTTATCATCTATAAACCAACAACAACATAACTACTAGCAACATTGATATTGCTAAAGTATTTAATAAACACTTTAAAAGTGTTTTTAAGAATGATGTTGTTAATGATTATTTGGAAAATCTACCAGCGCATATCTTATTGAGTGAATAATTGATTATAATAAAGCTTGATTATCCAAACCATGATTTGATTTCCAAAAAATATTTGACTCTGTATCTCATCAAAACTCAAAATGAAACTAGCTAAAGAAACTAAAAAAGCTAAAAAAAACTGGTATAAAGAAATAACTTCCTTAAATGGATCTCAGCATTTCTCTCAAAAAGATAACAACGTTTTGGTCAGAAATTGTCCAAACCATCTAGCATTATTAGTGGAGTTCCACAGGGTAGTGTCTTTGGGTCCAACTACTTATTCTTATTATATTAGAGATTCAGATCACAGCCAGGACTGTTGCCATCAACAAAGTTTTTTCTATGATTTTAAAAATGGCAGTTAAAAGTTGCCAGCAGCAAGATTTTACATTTATAATAGCACTTACTTCATTTTGTAACTTTATTTATTTCAATTATAAGCAAGGAATTCATAACTTAACTTTCTTAAAAAATCCAAAAGCTAGTTCCTGCTAACTGCATCTTGTGTGACAGTTTTTAATTTTGTCAAATGGACCTGAGTGTCCTTTATAACATGTATTACTGTACTAATAAAATAAAATCATTTTATATTTAATAAAAGTTAAAATATATGGGAAAGACATTATGTATGTATGTATTTATGTACATTATGTATGTATGTATGTATGTATGTATGTATGTATGTATGTATGTATGTATGTATGTATGTATGTATGTATGTATGTATGTATGTATGTATGTATGTATGTATGTATGTATGTATGTATGTATGTATGTATGTATGTATGTATGTATGTATGTATGTATGTATGTATGTATGTATGTATGTATGTATGTATGTATGTATGTATGTATGTATGTATGTATGTATGTGTGTATGTATGTATGTATGTATGTATGTATGTATGTATGTATGTATGTATGTATGTATGTATGTTAGGGTGCATCATTTTGCCCCTTTTTTTTTAAATTTTAATCTAAGGTTTCTGTTCCTATTTCATTTCTTTTCCTATTGATGTACATAGATGTTTTCCAAATTTTTATAATATTTGGACATAATCTAGGTATCCCATGCAGCACTTGCAGTTTTACCATAGAGAACTATTATTAGCAGGGATGCAGAGTCCCAAAAGGACTCCGGCTTTATATCTCTACTTTTTCCAAGTCTGTAGTGTCTAGAAGCTCTAAACATGTTTGTTGACTTGAAACGTATTGTTTTTAAGCCTGCAGTCGTGGAGTCCCGGAATCTTTGCAGCCATTATACTTAAGGAGTTTAAAAAATGATTGTTCCTCTAACCTAAAAGTCCTAATTTTTTTCCTATTAGTAGTCCATAAACTTATTTATAATTTTAGAGCTCCTGGATACCAAAAACTAGGATGAAGTAATCCTTTTGTGACTTCCAAAAGAGTAGTTTAACAAAATATAATTTTATATTTTTTCTCTTTTGGAAAGAGAAGTCTAAAAAGGACTTCTCTTTCCAAAAGAGAAGTCCTTTTTGGGACTCTGCATCCCTGATTACTAGGTTATACATATTGTACAATATTGAACATATTATGCAGAAGAACCATTTTATCATTACGGTTTAGTCATTATCTTATCATTTATAATGCTACATTAGTCAATGTCCATTATCTGCAGAAGCAATGAACTGATTAAAAATGTTCTTTTTATGTTATTAAATAGTAAACAGTAGCGAAACACTAGTACAGTAGCAATCAAACTATTACCAGGATGTACGTTATAATATTGCTTACAATATGCATTATATTGCTGAGAGTAATTTACATTTAGATTGTAAGCAATGTCTCCAATGCTCACCATTGTCCCAATATTGTCACTCATAAGTTGACTTGCGTTTGCACAGATTAGACTGTAAACGTTCGTGTTCCACAACTTGAAGCACATCTTGATAGTATTCTTTATCTTCTTGATATCATCTTGATAGTATTCTTTTTAATGCTGACAGAAAATCTGAGCTCAGCTTCACAACCCTCTCTACACTGTCAATGATGATGTTGAGTGATTCAATATTTGTAATTGCGGCTTAATAGTAATTGCAGCTTGACCAATCGGAAACATCTTTGTTGAGAAATTGAGTCTAAGTTTATAATAGTTCAAACATACACCATGAGTCAGTCCCCGCAAGATCAGCAAGAGTTGTTATACTTAAGATTATTTCTGAAAAGACAAGCTTTCAAAAGTTCGAGCTAAACTGATTTTGCGGCAATTTTAAGTTTCATACTGGCTTAACTGCAAGCAGATCATCATTGACTTTATGGCATTCAACATCTGGAAAGTTCTTGCTATAGAGAGCATCCGATACCATTTCTTCTGTTAGATACCACAAATTTCGCTAAAATGCACGAACTTCACAAGTCGAGATAGTGGTATTCAACAAGTTATACTGCAGGAATGAATGGAAGAGCTTCAAGTGATTCCACGGAGCATCTGTAACCGAACTACAATCTATCCATCATGCCCTATAAACCAGGGTCACAAAATTCACAAAGTCTCTCACTTTGCTCACCTGATGCTGTGTTATAATCTTGGTGGGTGGAGGGCCAACAATCTGCTGCTCAAGAAGACAGATCTTTATACAATAGAGCAATTTTGATATCCACCTCACCTTATGAACTGCTCCTGGACGTTTTAATGTGGCTTTGTGTCCTTCTGCTTTCCCATATAGAAACACAACACAAAGCTTTGTGAAGTCTTTATAATCATCTCTATGAAATAAAAGCTGTGAATTGGAAATCGGTAGAACATATTCTCTGCATTTGTCAATTAAGGGTTTGGCAGTATCATTGAAGTGTGACAGTCTCTCTGATGCTAACCCACATGTCTCGAGGTACTCAAAATACAGGTGATATTGAAACCTCAATTTGAATATCTTCAAACATGTGAATAAGAATAACTTCAACACCCTGACCAGAGCAGTGCTCAACTTAACCCCATATGAATTGCAATTCAGGCCACATTGATAGGCCACATAGATGTACAGTGTTTGATGCGGTCGTGTCAAACACCATGCTTATGATAAAGTCACTACATAGCCATAAATGCAGAGTCCAATGGTCAGCTCAGCCATTATGTCCCCAGATTTTCTATAGGTTCCCAGTACATACGATGGTACACCAAGAAACTATATCTCATTTGCATTCCTAATAAGAAATGCTAACATGGCGCTCCTGAGTAATATTCTTATTTGTCAGTGATGACATTTGTTTCAAATCCCAATTCAGAGTTGACAGCTTTGCAGCAACCCATTGCTTCCTGCAGGCAATCTTCTGTCCAACCTTGTCTGGATTTGTCAGCAGTTAAATATGATGTACGGACTTTTGATATGTTGCTTCCAGTTTCTGATATCAGAGTTTCAGTATAGGCTGCTAGCTGTGTTGGTGTCATCTTTAGACAAGTTGCTAAGGCGACAAGTTTGGGTCTTTTCATTATATCACGAGGGACAAAAGAAGGAATTCCGGGGTTGACTATTGATACAATGACCTCTGCTAGCAGTCTTGACTGGTAAAACATTATTTAGAGGAAGTTTTTATTCAGAATCATCGTCATTGTCAACTTATCCAGGACGGCCACTTTTAATTAGCTCTTTAACCTTGGCACTATCTGCAACCGTAGTAATACTTCTCTGATGCTTCAGTTTCTAAGTTTTTGACGACGCTTTGCTAAAGTTTTGAAGCTAACACTTTGTCATGAGAACCAAAACTTGCCGCTCCATTGGTTTTCATAGGCTGTAAAAATGACAAATCTTCTGGATTTTTTATCAGTTGTTTAGCATTCTGCAGCCAAAGTTAAAATGCCTTCGCTAAGATATCCTCTGTCAGTAAGACCTTTTTATTGAAGCTGGTGTTGACCTGGACGCAGATGGTATCACTCTAATTTTGTCATTATCATTAAGCAGTTTTCATTTTCTCGTATGCTTTATCATGCTTTTCATTTTCTCGTATGCTTTATCTCGTATGCTGTTTCATTTTCTCGTATGCTTTATGCAATCACTGATCAAGGGAATGTTTGCTTTCTATAAAAAAAACTATGATTTTTGCCAGCACCAGCTTGGCCGAATCCCACTGAGTACAATTTTTGCACATACCACTATCATAAAGATGATACCTGATGCATTGCAAGACTTGCTGACATGTTGGAAGACGCGCTCCAGTTATTTCTGTGACCACTGCCGTGATCTTGTTACCAAAACCAAATATCACAGACAACTCCCTTTTACTTTTCTTAGCAGAAGTTTTTGGAATGTTGTTCCGATTGTATATCACCA